AATAGGAAACAAAGATTAAGATGATAAAGCTAAACCAAAATATACCATTGATTCCACTGAGTGTAAACAGACAATTCTAATTAAAAGATGAAAATTGTTAGGTTGGATAAAATACTGAGCTACATGATCCTTATATGAGACACAACTTAAATATAAAGACAACTAAAAGATGAAATTAAAAAGTCTGGGGAAAAGCACCATAAAAATCTAACAAAAGGAAAGCTATGCTAAAATTAGTCAAGTAGACTTTACAGAACAAAGAATAACTACACATAGGTAGGACCACTTTAGAATTATAAAAGTTCAATTCACCAGGAATATATAATAATTATTTCAGCAACAGGTGAATAGTGGCATGTTTCTCTGTTGTATAACAATACACTCATTTTCATTTCTAAACGAATACTATAAAAAAGAGAAAATATCCCCGATTGGGGAAAGATGTCTTCGTGTCTTGAAGCAAGGTGTTCTATCACGCAAACTCTCTTCTCTCGCTTGAGTTCTATGGCTCCGTGATTCTGCGTTTCCATGGTGTCTGAGTCTCGAATTCTAATCCACAAGTCAGTTGCTGGGGCAGCTAATGTCATTCTCACTGTCCTGTCTGGGAATTCCTATAGCAGGAATGGACTCGTATGGGCGTCACTGCGGGAGAATTCATCACCCTAACAGTTGGAGACAACGCACCCGCAGCGTGCCAGGATGACCAATGTGGAAAAAGAAGAAGATCTGCCAGCATATCTGTTTTCTCCAGAGCACTGCCATATCCTGATTTAAGGCGCAAAATTAAAACAGGCTTTGAGAAGTTTTAGAAGATTGGAATGTGTCCCTGTGGCTTAACTCAGGTAACCTTGCGGTGAGGGATGCAATTATGGGTGAATTGAATAATGGTAAACTTTGAAGATGAGGCACGATTGTCTTTTTGTTAATCAAATTTGATTTAAAAAAAAAAAGAGCTTGACAAAGATACTGCTGATAAACCAATGGAAGCTTTATACAGCTCTTTACAATCCGTCTGTTGGAGACACTGTGGCCAGGCTCAGACTGAAGTCGGCTTTAGAGACGGAGGGTTTAGCGTGGCCATCAGGCTTCAAGGGCAGGGCTTTGGCTGAGCAACGCTGATCAGACCTGACATCTGACTCCTTGCACTGCCCCCCCACACCCTCCAGACTCACCCCTCTGCATCCCTTCTGTTTTCCCTTCTGCTCTCTTTTCTCCCCCTTCCTCACTTTTGCATCTCTGTTCCTCTTCACCCATTTCCCTCACCCGTTTTGGCTGCTAAGTTTCCGTCATCTTTTAAGGGACCTCCAGGGAGGCCTGGGGAGTGAGGGCACAGCAAGCAGTTTGGGGTCTTGTTTCACTTAGTCTGTCCTGCTTCTCCCAGAACCCTGAATGGAAGGTTCTGAGAGCTTTTCATCAGGGTAGCAGGTTCCAGCCCTGCCTTTGCCATTTATTGGCTGTTTGACTGTCTCATCAAGGAACCTCATTTCCACATGTATGGGACCCCAAGGGACCCAGAATAGTCAGAGCAATCTTGAGAAAGAACAAAGCTGGAGGCATCACACTCCCTGATTTCAAACTACATTACAAAGTTATAGTAATCAAAACAGTATGGTACTGGCATAAAAACAGACACATGGATCAATGGAACAGAAAAGAGAGCCCAGAAATAAACCTACACACATATGGTCTGTTAATTATGACAAAGGAGCCAAGAATATACCATGGGGTAAGGAGAGTCTCTTCAATAAATGGTGTTGGGCAAAACTGGACAGCCACATGCAAAAGAATGAAACTGGATCACTATCTTACACCACACACAAAAATTAACTCAAAATGGATTAAAGACTTGAAGGTGAGACCTGAAACCATAAAACTCCTAGAAGAAAACATAAGCAGTACGCTCCTTCACGTTGGTCTTGGTCATGACTTTTTGGATTTCACACGAAAAGCAAAGGCAATAAAAGCTAAAATAAACAAGTGAGACTACATCAGACTGAAAAGCTTCTGCACAGCAAAGGAAACCATCAACAAAATGAAAAGACAACCAAACTGAATGGGAGAAAATATTTGCAAATCATATATCTGATAAGGCATTAATATCCTATTCACTCTTTGTCCTTCTTCTCTTAGAAACTTACAAAAAATTCTGTGCATACACTGGTACATCTAATTTATATCATAAGAAGCATCATACTGCAGGCAGAACATAGATTCTGGAGCTGCATTGCTCAATTTGGAATCTTGACACCGTCACTAATTGTGTGAACTTGAGTAAGTACCAGGCTCCACTGGGCCTCTCTTTCTGTGGTAGGCAGACTGTAAGATGGCCCCCAGTGATCACTACCTTTTGCTATTCAGTCTTACATAGTCCCATTCTTTTGAGTAAGTTGTTTCTAACCAATACAAGCAATGATGAGGAGATATCACTTCCATGATTAAGTTCCAAAATTCTGTGACATTTATCTGGCTGGCAAATTCTCTCTTTTTCCGGCTTTGAGGAAACAAGATGATGTGTTGACTAGGCCCATGTGGCAAGTAGCTGAGGGCGGCGGCCAGCCAACAACCAGCAAGGAATGGAGGCCCACAGTCCAACAGCCCTTGAAGAACTGAACCCAGCAACCACATAGGTGAGCTTGGAAGCGGATCCTTCCTCATCACATCTGCAGGTGACTCCTTGGAACTGGTTGACACCTCGATTGCAGCCCTGGGTGACACTGTGAGCCAGAGGATCCAAGGGAGCCAGGCCTAGAGTCCTAAGCCTAAAAACTGTGAGATAAAAATGTGTGTCCTCTAAAGCTGGTAAATTTGGGGATAATCTGCTATACAGCAATAGATTACCAATAACATTTCTCTCTTACTTAAAAAAGAGACAGCATTAGTTACCTACCTCATAGACTGGTTATGATGATTAAAGACAATATTTTAAAGGGTATAGAACAGTGACTGGAACATAGTAAGCATTATGTAAGTGCTTGTTAAATAATTTATATGTACCTCAAAAAGAGAGAAAAAAAATGTAATTTTTCCCCATCCAATTCCATGGGCTCCCTGAATTCTACCCACAGACTCTCCGAGGGCCCAGTGAACCCCAGGTTAAGAATTCTTGTGTCGAGAACAAATGGAGGACATTAGATGAATGCTTCCTCCCTTGTTACCTCCAAATTGTTTTTGCTCACACTATTCCTTCTTCCTGTATCAGAAGAAGAAAACTCCTCTTTAGACCTCACTGTCCCTCTGTTCTGGATCCCAGCCCGTCCCACTTCACTGCGGACTTGGTGCAGTTGAGCACCCTCCGATTCTTGTCCACAGCTGTGTTCCAAGATACAGAGCCCTCAAAACCTTCCCATACAGCACGTACTCATCAGTTTGTGTCCACGCATCATGGAGACACCAGGACCTAAGGTGGGGAAACAGGGGCTGGCAGGGGCACCACTACCAGTAGCAACCAGCATTACTTCATGACGACGAGGTGGACATTGGCCTGATCCAGAGAGGAAAGGAAAACAAAGGTGATCCCCAACACTGGGAGGGAAACCCCATAGTGAGCTAACCCATTTTCACTCATGGATGCCTGCACCTACGTCTGCGCTGGCCTGGGCTGACTCTGAGGTGACAGTGGCAAATAGAAAGGGCCCTGAGTGATAAACATGGAAGATAGCCATTGTGTGTCCACAATTTCAGAGTCAGCCAGGGCACCAGCAAATAAAACGGTTTAAACTTTGAAGGAGACAAGGAAGACGTGAGAATGACCGTGAGCGATCACCTAAATGTGAGCCATTTGAATACAAGGGGCTGACATCTGGATGATGCTGGGTGATGTCAGCCTGGGGTCACTGTGACTTTGGCATTGCCAAAATTGAGGCTATTTTTTCAGCCCTTGTGTATTTAGAACTTTCTTACTGTGTTTGATGTGGCTGATCACTTCCTCCTTCTAGAAACTCCTCCTTGGTACCCATGACAACACACTCCCCTAGTTTCCTCCATTCTTCCTTAACTGTTCCTTCTCTGTTTCCTTCCTGAGTTCTGTTTCTTCTCCCCCATCTCTAGTGAACTCATCTGTCTCCCGGTTTCACCTACCTCTATTCTGAGAACTTCCCAGTCTCTACCACCAGCCCAGCTTCTCCACAGGACTTCAGACACAGCCAATCATCTGCACATTTGGCCACCTCCACCCAATGTGCCTTAGTACTTCCAACTCAGCATGTCCTAAACTGAGCTCAGCCTTTGCCCCACAAACCTGTTCTTCCTCATTGTCTGTCTTGGATGGCAACAACACCATTCTCCAAGAAGCTCAGGCCCCAGGATCCACACTCTCCTCACCCCACCTAATCCTCACCATGTCCTATTGATTTAATTCCCTCATGATTCTTGAATCTGGAACCTCTTTTCTGTCTCCCAACAATTAACATCCCACATCAGGCCACCACCTCTTGCCCAGGAAACTACTCGAACTCTTTTCTTAAAACCTAAATATCATTTATCATAGCCTTGCTTTAAATTTCTTCCGTGGTACCCTTTTGCCTCTAAAAGTCCTCTGTGGCTTGACACCGCTGACTCCATCCTCCGCATATCCTCCAGCCTGTGGAACATGGTAATTTCTAGCAACACCGCACAACTTTGCCTCTGGCCCCACAGCCGCCGGGGTAGTGAGGAAGTGTGCCTCCTCAAACCCCTCCAGCCCCGTGCTCACCTCAACCAACCCTGACCTAACTGATGGACGTGTGACTGGCAGTAAGCCTGCTTCTCGTGGTGCACCCCAGTATGTGACACATCTACGAGTTCCATTTATATCCACCTCCTCCTACAGCCTTGGCAGAATTGACTCAGGGCTCACAAATCCCTCCGCAGCGTCGCCGGTCTGCGGCAGGGCGGTGTAGCGTTTGGCAAGAAGATGGTGTCCTTGGCCCGCGAGGGAGGCTATTGGGGAACAAGGACAAAGGAATGTGTGATGGTGACAGGTCACAATGGCCTGGAGAGGATTAAAAGCAGCCAGGCAGGGTGGCGTAGGCCGAGGTGGAGGGAGGCTCCTGAGAGAGCTTAGCAGGTGCAAGATTGCTGTTGGCTGTTCACGTTGCAGCAGCAAAATGCAGAGGCTGCAGGGAACTGGCGTGTCGGGTGCCGGAGGCCCTTCAGCGTCCTGACGTCTTCGCGTCCTCCGCAGGGGCGGTTTGCGTCCAGGGGCCAGATCGTCTCAGGTACGACAGGCTGAGCGGTCGGTAATCCGTGACCCCACGGCATCCTCAGTCCCTCTGGAACTGTCCCTCAGTCCGGGGGTACTGAGGCAGAAAGGGGCCTGGGGAGGACGGCAGTGGTAGAAGGTGCCTGGGAGCCTCCAGGAGGTGAGTGCAGAAGGGGGCGGTCTTAGAAGGACCCAGACCCGAACTGGGAGGAACAGAATGGATTAGGGGGATCCTGGAGGGTGGAGGGAAGGTGGGGGAAGTTCCAGCTTCCTTTGCCTCTGGCGCAGATCCGTAGACACTCAGGGATCTGATATCAAGTCCCCCATGTGCTTCCAATAAAGTAAGATGCTGAAGCCCACTCCTATTTACTTATCATTTGGGTCTGCCCATCTCGGAGCTGTGTGTGTCAACTCGACTAATCTGCACAACGACTACCATCTCCATCTTACACCTGAGTGAAGTGAGGTTCCCAAGGTTACAAGGCTATAAAGGAGGGAAGCTGGACCTCACACCAAGTAGTCTAGCCCCCAAAGCTGTGTCTTAATGAGCACAGGTTCTTGCATGGGTAGTTTGGAGGGAAAAACAGGGACCAACAATAAACAAATAGGTTCTCAGGGATAATCTCAAAAACATGGCAACGTTGGGGACTATTTTGGTGAACTGAGATCCAGACATTCAAAGATTTAGGACTGAGTGGGCAAACTTTTTCTGTAACGGGCAAGATAATATTTTAGTCTTTGTGAAACCACGTGGTCTCTGTCACAGCTACTCAACTCTGCCGTAGTGGCACACAAGCAGCCACAGACAACATGTGAAAGAATGAATGCGGCTGTTCTCCAGGCAAGCAGTGGGCTGGATGTAGCCCGTGGTTGGCTGACCTCTGGTCTACAGGGAAGAGCTGCTCGGGGGCATGAGCAAGTGAACTGCAATAGGCCCGGGCAGGGAGAAGTGGGAAAATTCAAGTCTGAGGTCTGTGAGACGGTCTGGGGCCAGCAAGGCTGTCCCATAAGATGGTACAGGTTCACGCACAAGACCATCTGGCTGGGAGGTGAGGGTGAGAGTTGGAGAGCCCAGCCTGCATTCCTCCACCCAGCCGTGCACTCAGCCTGGTGCTGGTTTGCCTCTCACTGAAGGGAAGAGCATCTGTCTACTAGCCAAACTGGGTTAACTGCCTGTACCGGGTGCTGGGCTTGTAGTTGCCAGGGTAACAGACCCTTATGAGGTTAGTGAGGAAACTAGGACAAGAGATAATGTCTTTCCAGCTGTCTTCATAAAAGATATCCTTAGGCAGTGGGTCTATGATACCATGTTACCTGGTTCAAACGTCTCAAGGTTACAAAGACCTTAGAGCTGACCAGGTGAGCCCAGGTGTTTCAGTCCCTCCCTTTAAGAAGTGTGCAGCAGGAACAAGACAGTGATGCCAATTATACACTCCAACATGGAACCCAAGCTGTCAGGGGCCTCCATGGCAGGACTCCCAAATATGGCATGGATTCAAAGGAAACAGAGAAGTGACTCAGCCCCAGAGGTTCACAGAGGCTTTGTGGGGGAAGAGACCTTAGGCCTAGAACATAAGGAGGGCTCTGGGAAGTAAGACAGACAGGGAAGTTGGGGAGGTATAGTGGGCCTTGCGTGCCAGAGGGAGGGAGGGATTTGTACATACTTTTTTTGGTAGGTGGTATGGAGCCATTAAGGGATTTTGAACTGAGGCATGACGAGGTCAGTGATGTACTCTATTCATCTGAATTAGGGCTGGACCTCTCAATAAGAGTTAGAAGTAGAGTTGAGGAAGAATGGACAGGACTTGGTAACTCATAACAAAAGGAGTGGAACGTGGCTGGGCCAGGGGGCTAACAGGGGCCATTTTCTTCCAGTATTTCTCCACCCAATCTCCCACTCCATGCTTCCTGGTAGGATACTGTCCTTGAACTTAATAAAGATGTCAATTTATAGTCCTAGAAAAATGACATCTCCATCTGAAGCTTGCCACTAGCTAATCTTTTTGTCTTCAGCTATGCTGCCCTTTAGGTGCTAGAGATCTTTTTGTTTATTAGGAAAACCTTGTTCACCTCCTGAGACCCCCAGCGGAGAGTTCTAGTAGTGCTGAGGCCATCCTAGTGAGGACAGAGTGGACATAGCTATCTTTGAGGCAGAGGACAAGAGGAGCCCAGAGGCAAGACTTAGCAGAAACCCTAGAAAATGGGACCAGGGTGCTTTGTTTCCTGCAAAGTAGTTGGTGCTCTGAGGCTCATTTGAAAAATGAACTGCATTTGGAAGGGCTCAGGGCCAAATGAGCCACCATCTTGAGGCCCTGCCGCAAGAAGGAGGTTCCTGGTGCTTCTCCAAAATGTTTCCTAAGGATGAGTTTCAGAGATTCCTTAGATGCCAGCTCCTCTCCTCTCATACCCAATGTTGTGATGTCCTCTAAAGCATAGTGACCATCCAATCCATTCTTGGACACTTACAGTCCCAACACAGGCAGTCTGATCTGTTGTGGGGCAGTTTTAACTAATACAAAGTCCTTCTTTTATTTGAGCAATAGTCCATCTCTCTGTGACTGTCACGCACCGATCTTTGTATACATCAGAGCCAGTACAACAGGCTGTGTGCACGTGCACAGTTTGTGAACAGCTATCAAAATGTCAAATGTGCATACTCGCTGGCCAGCAGACTCACTTCTAGGAATCTATTCTGCAGATATATCAACAAAAGTGTATAAAATAAAGCTGTATGAGAAAGTTCACTGGTGAATTGAAGCAGTGCTCTGACACTGGAACCCTTCAAGCAGAACTTGAATCACCATGATGTGGATGCTATCAATGGGATTCCTGCATTAAACAGGAGGTTGGACTTGATGACTTCAAAGTTTCTTCTAATTACAAGCGCTCGAGTTATTCATCTGTAGGAAGAAGGGGAGCAGATCTTTCTAGTCTCATTCATTTCCCCTTTTTCTTTCTTTTCCTTTTCAGCACAGATCATGAAGATCCGTGGAGAAAGGCACCCAAATCAGGTCAGAATCAGGAGACCCCACATCATCCCTGAGATCTTTAAGGTCATCTCTTCTGATTATGCTTAGAGGGGTGAGGACGAATCCAGCAGTCCTCGCAGATGTACTGTACACACTCTTGCAGTCACGAAACCTACAGTGCCTGACAAAGGGGCAGCAGCAGGAGTGGCAGAGATAACAATAGGAGCCACAGCAGGTGCTGTGGATACTCAGGACAGATCGACTCAACACCGGCAGGAGCAGCCTTCATGGATCCAGGAGGAAGCAGAGCCGTCATGCCCAGGGCGGGTGCTTCCGGCGTGTCCCCACTATGAGGTGAGGACTTAACATGTTTGTAAGCAAGTAATTCCCTCACGTCAGCAGGAGCTGCCAGTCTCTCTCCAGAGGGCAGCATGTGTATGGTGCTCGCAGGAGCAGAGACGACTGACAAGCCTGTTTCAGAAACAGCTGAAGTTCCAGTAGCGGGACCCCTCATCTCAAGTGTGCAGACTGAAAGCTGCATTATTAAACAGGAAGGAAGCCAGAAGGTCTCCAAACCAGTGCTGAAGCCTAGAAGGAAAGACAGGAAAATGACAGAACTCCCGAGAGAGGGCATTCCCGTCACCATCGTGTCCACTGGAGAGGACAAATCAACCCTAACATCGTCCTTCTGCTGGTCTGTAGCCTGCTGTGGAACCACTAGGGGTGGAAAAGAAGGAAAAAGTCTGGAGCAGCCCAGGAAGCAGAGGACACCACTCCTTCTTCCATGGGAAAGAAACACATCAGCTTTAGCTCCACCGCAGAGGAGTCTGGGTGGGTTGTCAGATTTTTCTTCTCCTCTTACTTTCTATTGATGTCGATACAATTCTGAAAGGCCGTGGACTCAGGTGTGGGTGGTGAATCAAGAGCAATGAAAGCACTAACCTTCTCCAGGAGCTCACAGTGCATTAGAGTGGATTGTTCACTTTCCTCTTTTTTCTCTTTGCCTGCTCATGAGAATCCCAAATGCTGAATCACAGAGAGTGCAAGGCAGATTGATGAGTGTCATAGGAGAGGAATCATGTAAACTTGAAATGATCTGAATGTTTTTTTCACTGTAAGGGTAGAGACGTGGCACACAGGTCAACTCAATCGTGCCGTGAACTGAATGGGAAGAGAAACTTAGTCTTGCTGCTTATATTACAGAATAAGAATAATGCATCTTTTTTCTCTTTCAGGTTTTTAGATTTTCCCTTTTTCACTGGATTTAAGCTGTTTGATTATGGTGCGACTTTGTGTAGTTTTCTTCAGGATACTTATGCTGTGGGTTCGTTGAGCTTTTTAGATCTGTGAGTTTGTACTATTCATCAAATCTGGGAAGTTTTCAGCCAGAATTTTTTCAAAAAAATCTTAGCGCTATCTCAATACAATGCACAACAGCTAATCTACAAGCAAAGTCAAAGATGGGTGGGCAATGCTGATGAATACCAGGCATTTAATTTGCTCACTTAAGACGTATCACTCAGACTGATGCAACAATGGTGATTCATCACGGTGAGCTGCAAATCCTGATTACTGACAGCCATGGTCGGGGAAAAGCCAGAGACAGTGACTAAAGAAGCAGATGATTTATGCTGCTTTGTTTTGATATTAAAAAGTGCATTGCTTTCAGACCTATTTTTTGAGCTGCTGTATTGGTTTTATAGTTTTCCTCCAAACTTCTGCACCCTTTACAGAAAACTGGGAGTTTTTGCATCATGAAAAGGGGTTTCTTGGGACACATGACTTTCATTACTAAAACCAGGCTAATCCCATACAAACTGGGATGATTTATTGCCCCACGGCCAGCTCTCTTGAAGCCTTCCTGGAGAGCACCAAGGTCACCACAGCATGTTTTCACCCACCGCCCCAAAGTAGAGCTGGTCCCACTAAGGTAAGCATATGGATGTGGATAGCAGGAATCGGGGGCCTCACAGGCAGTGGGAGGAGATCAGTAAAAGAATCCAGTAAAGGAAGGAGAGAGAGAGAGAGAGAAGCAGCTAGACTAGACTCAATGGTGATGAAATTTTGACCATAGTAGTGGTTTCCATTGTGATTCTGAAAATATGATGACCCTTTCTGTGGAATTTATTACTACAGTGACAAGGAAAACTGTCAATATCAATTCCATTCTCCAGCAGACTTGTAGCCTTCACAGACTTCTAGGAAAAAAAAAAAGATTAAAAAATTTTAAAATAAATGAAAAGAATCTATATTTTTCAAGAACAAGAGACAGACAGAGTTTGAATGGGAACATCAAAAAGCATCCAGAGATTTGAATCATATTTCCACCAATGTTGGACATATAAACTGTTATGGGTGACAAAGACTATGCAAATGTGATAACAGGAGGCCAAAGACTATAATAAAAAAGGTCTGTCAGAATTTACTGTTTGAGATTGTCAAAACATGGTAGAAACTCATTGTACTGAAATGTCTGTAATTTTACTTTAATTAAAAACAACCGTATTACAAAGATTGATGAAGAGTAAGAAGATGAAGTTACCAATTTTCAGACCAAAGTCAACTGTGATGATTACATTTCTAGCAAAGACCATGGAACTTCAGAAGACACAGAGAAGGAAGAGACAGAAAAAAAAGACTTGGCACACAAGTGTGAATAATTACTAGATCTCTGCTACTACAGTTAGCAAGGAAAGTAGAGCACACTCTGAATTCTTGTAAGTGGTCTCAGGAAGTTCCATGGAGAAATCTATTTTGACTATGTCTTAAAAGTTATAAAATTGTGAATCCAGGCATCAAAATGGTAACACTGTTCATGGGAAACAGATAATAATATCATGAATTAAATGTGATATGTATTCAACTGAGTATGAGGTTAAAGGGGAAATTGGCTCTTTCATATTGACCCAGGCTGTGATGCCTGGGATGGCAGTGGATGAGAACAGGTGAGAGGAAGGAAGGAAGGAAGGGAGGCAAGAAGGGAGGGGAAAAATGTTTTTTAAAAATGTTCATTGTAGATTACTTGAGATAGACTATGAAAACAAAGCATTTGAATAATCTAAAATATGAAGGCCGTAGGAAAAATGTAAAGAAAATATTGGAAGTGAAGAAACTTTCCAAGTGTTGGTTCTGAAATCACTGATAGCAAAAAAAAAAAGGTTGGAAAATTTTGGAGACGATGTGTTGGATAAAAGGAGAAGCTTAGAGAGGGTGGGGGAAAATAAATGCTCTAATCCATTTGGAGCTTTCCAAACACATCCAGCCGTGGGGTCAGGCAACTTACTCCCTGGAAGATGTTCATGTCCTCCAAAATGGAAGAAAAAGAACTAGGGCAAAGCCAGAGAGAGATTTGCCCCAAACTTCCCAGAAATCAAACTTTCGGAAGATGCTGCAGAAGCTCTGCTTTGGGTAAGAGGATCAATCCCAGAACAAACATTACAACTTTTAAAGAGTTTTGAGTCTTTCATTTATTGCAGAAATTTTTCTCCCTATAGAAATAAGAGTGATAGGGAAACAATCGCTATTTACTCCATCACTATTCTAAAATATGTAATAAGTTTTGCTTGATATGAATTATTTAGCCGTATTGGACAAATTAAATATATGAAGCCTCCCTCAGTGGGTGATGAGTGCCAATGCTAAGCCATGTCCCCCTGGGTGACTATTGAGTATGACTTCACCTATTTTCTAGTTGCCACTCTAGACAACCAAGTCAGTCCTTGCAAGTGTATGGGTCCACGGCAGGTGCATTGGATTGAGGAGGAAGTGGGATTAGGAAAATGCAGCAGCATTTTGAGGGCAGGTTTACTTAGATCAAGGAAAGAAGAGAGTCCCAACTGGCACTTGTTGAATACAAATATTGCCAACATGGTATTTTAACTCAGAATTGTCCCTGCCTGGGACAGACACCAGGGCAGAGTCAGGAAGTACAAGACTGGAAGTTGGATGTTCAGGGTCGCCATCTCAAGTCTGTCACTAGGACTAAGTTATCCTCAGAATGCCTCCTGACCTCAGTTTTCTCACATGCAAAACGAGGGATTGGGTTCAATATGTAATGCAATGCAACATTAATCAAATGCCTTTTATGCTCCAGGAATTTTACCAGAATAAGAAATTGTTAGGATTCCTACCATTTTGGGACTCCTCCTATGATTCTGTGACAAGAAGATGGACTGTTGTTTGTTGCTTTATTCACTCATTGGGTGGAAAGACTGTAAATCTAGCTCCCCGTGCATGCTACCATTCTTTGGTTTCCATGCTATAGACTTTAATTGCAGAGGAAGTGGTCCAGGATAGGAAAAGGCAATGTACTGGCCACTGCTGGTCATGTGAAACAACTGGACCAAACCACAGGAGAGAAACAGGTCTGTCTTGAGGAGAGGGGCTTCTGTCCTTCCCCATCCACACCTTGCCCTCCCAGTGTTCCCAGGTGATCCTTCCCGGTGGGTCTCCTCAAAGGAAGGAGAAGGCAGGGACCCAGCAAGGAGGTCAGAGTCTGTAGAGAAGCGTGGCCCAGCAGAACATCCATTAAATGATGTTTGGCTTGCAAGTGATCCACCATTTTCCTTAAAGGGGGATCCTCACCTTACATCTGATTAAGTGATGAGCATGGAAAGGATGACTGGAGAAAAATCAGAAGACTATTTTTTCTAAACTTTTTTTTCAGACTATTATACATTCTTATTATGGAAATTGGGAAGATTAGAAACACACATAGAACAAAACAAAAACCATCCATGGAAATTTTTTAAAACCCTCTAATTCATTCCATTTTATTTTTTCAAACCATAATTTACTTTATAAAATTTGGACATTTATATATTTTTAATTTAATACTTTCTGAAATATTCTTCCTTGAAATTAAATGCTTTTAGACATTCATAATTCATATTACCATTTAACATCTCTGTTAATATTTTAAGTAAAAAAATTTTAACTTTATTTAATCTAGTATTTCCCAAACCTCTCCTAATTAACCTCTGGGGAAACAGTGGAGAATGTTTAAGAAAGTTTAAATTAAATTATCTTTAAGTTATCCCCTTATTCTAAAATGGGTTATTTCCGTACTTTGCCTTCTTTCTAATAAACTTATTTTGATAATTTGTTCTTCTTTTGCTGCAGTGCACGTGGTGAGGTCCCACGTTTTGCTGTTGGACCTTTCACCTGCTCCATTATGGGAACCAGGTTCCTCCGGGCAGTAGAACCGAGAGTAAGAGCCCTAAATCATTCCTCGCTGAAGCCTCACTGAGGGGGGCTGAAGGATGAGGGTCCATGAGGGCTTCTCTTGTGCTGAGCAAATAACATCTTGTCCCCAACAGAAGGACTGAGAACCACACTCCGTTCAGTACCAAGATGAAACCAAGATTCCCAGCTGAAATAACGCTACCAAACAATGGTCCTTCCTTCGCGTTCCTACTCACCAAGCTTTCCGTCTCTTTTCTGTACAGATCATTTAACTCTTCTAGACAACCGTCTTACTCTTCCAGGTCACCATCTTTCTCCACCAGGTCCCAACAATGGACAAACTCAAATGACAGCCTTCACATCGCTCCAACCCACTTACTTTTAGATTTTCCTTGCACCGTGATGAAGAAAACAATCACGGGAATGCAGACCACGGTTAAAATAATACTCAAAATTACCCACATAATATTTCTGTTGAAGAAGGAAAATATTGACATCAGTTCGGGTAAGTGGCAATGTCTGTCAGTACACGTTCCATTTCGAAAAAGAGCCAGTATCTAGTTCATGCTGACCTTAAAGCATCTCACCATTTCTCTGTGTCTTTTTTCTGATAACATTTAAATTCTCCTCTCTTGTAGCCCCTGTCTACCATAGAGGCGTAGGTTCATCCTAATCTCATCACTCCACACACGCCTACACAGTTTTTAAAGCAACCAGTAAAATAATACAAATCACTTCCCTGGTGTCCTACAGACAAAGCCATCATTTCAATGATTTTAATGTAATTCAACTGTTCATTCTGTCATTGCATAAATATTATGAATAAAAGAACCTCTTAAGGATAAAGGAAAAACTGCAACTTCTCTGTGCTTCCAGTCAATTTGCTGTTGACAATTATTATATTCATTATCTAAAAATCAGATTCTGCTAAGAAACCTAAGCTCAAGAAAGAATATTGTGAATTTTTAATTTCGCGTCACACTTCACCTAGCAAAGAAATGCTGGCAGCTCTAGTCCAAGTAGGAGCCTTGAACACCACAACTCATTTTGGTGTTAGAATGTTGCCTAAAAAGTACAGTGCAGAGACTCAAAATGATTTTCCTTTCTATTAGAAATTCAACAATATACAAGAAACACAGCTTTTAAAACACTTCTCAAGGCGACGCGATGTAGTAATATAGAAACTACCCTGCCAACAGAAATAGTTATTTCCTCCTTCTGGTTGAGCCGGAGGTTGAGGAACAGAGTGCAGCTTTTTTAGTCTAGTTACTAGGACTGAAGATGAAGTGGAGAACAGACTGTTTCCATCTGTTCTGCTGTTTTCAGAGTGTGGCTTTAAATTCTGTGTTAGGCATCTCACCAGCTTGCCTCAGGCTCTGGGTACCACCTTGCAGCCTTACACACCAGATGGTCCACTCTGGCATCACTGTTCTTGAAGAGAACGCGCGGGGAACTTCATAATCCTGTGAAATGTAAAGGGGACAAGGAGCTTAGTTAAGAAATCAACATCTAAAAATTGTTTTGATCCTAAGTTTTAGTATGTTTAACCAAATAGAATGACTGTCTATCTTTTGTGCAACTTAAGTAGGAAAAAAAAAAAGATTCTGTGAATGATTTCATCAGAATGATTACCCTAAGAGATCAAAGGTAGCAGGAAAGGGCAAGAACAAGATATCTTGAAGGAATGAGATATTAACAAATAGTCAAGAAAGGAAGGTAATAAGGAGAAGACAAGTGTTAGGACTTATAGTACGCTCGGAGGCTTGTTGAAGGGCACAGTTCTGATTAAGTCATTACTCTCCCACAAATGTTGAATTGTCAAAGAGGATTCATAGCAATCATACACTTTACCTACCAAACTTTACCGTTATTACTGAAAGATAGAAAAAGTAAGGACAGAGTCAGCACCATCCACCTCTGAAATGGTTCAAAACCATCAGACGTACTTTTCAAAAAAGTTATTTTTCCACCATGGGATGTATTTTGGTTTTAGATTAAGAGATGAGTGTTAACAATGTGTATAACACACGTGATTTAAAAGTTAGTCTGAGGGAGTCATTTTAGATTCTTAGTTTTTACACTCCATCAGTCACATAAGTTGAGAAACTACATGACTAACTTTCACTTTCCAGTTGAGCCCTATAAACCATAAACCCCAGTTTTACGTACAGTAAGCAATGTAGAAGGACCAAGTATACAGAGAAGCTGTTCACTCTTTCTTTCCAAGTTATGCGCGGGTGGGTCAATACTGCACCTGCCTTTTGTGGGACGTGCATGAGTCGCAGCCCCAGCAGTGGCAGGGCATTGAATCTGCACATGGAAGATCATCACCCATTCCCTGGACACTCTGTTGTGCATCGTGGAGCCTGGCTTCTCTCAGGACTCCTGATGGAAGACAGTGACAGATTTCTGAGCATCTATGAGACAGACCTTGGGCTCCAATGTGAGTGTCTCTAGCCCTCTAGTCTAACTCTCTCCTGATCTTAGAATTATTCAGTTTAGCCCTTCTTTTTATACATTTTCCAGGTCTGCATCTCTGATTCACCTTCAGGGCATACAATGCTAAGTAGGGAGCAAGGCTACAGGCAGCAGGAGAGAGTGTGAATGAAGGAACGAGTACATTGGAAACAGTAGACTGGTTCTTGGGATGCTCTACTTGGAATCGTGGTGGAGCTGCCCACTAATCAGTGCCCAGTGGTTTGGCAGACTAAAAGGTGTGGACCTTTCTATATCTCAACAGTCTTGAAAGCACACAACACACAGAAGCACCCTTCATGGTTAATGTTTTTGGCGAAATCAGGGAAAAGTGCTGTATTCTGTATCTGGAGTAACATTTTGCAAACTAATGAAAGCACCTGAGGAAAAACAAATTGACTATCATATTGAGCTCATACTAAAATCCAGATGCAAGTAGCAAATTTGAGCTTTAGTTTGTAAACATGGACATACTTGGGGGAGGCTGTCGGACTTTCATATGTTTTTTGGACCAGAGGTTCAGGGCATTGTTTATTGTAAATGTCAAGGTGATTGCTGCTGATATACCAAGGCTAGATAATAGTCATCAGCAGCATTTACTGTGCACTTACTATATATCATGCAGTGCACTAACTTCTCTGCACTCATTTTTATTATTTTAATTACGTAATACCTCAATGAATTACGTACTAGTATTTTCCTCATATTTGTTTAAATAATGAAAATTTAAAAGGTCAAGTAACTTGCATAAATGTATATTTCTAAAAAATAGTAGAGCATGGACTTCTTCCCAACTCTTTTTTGTTTATTTTCTTCTTAGTTACAAAATAAGGAATGAATGTTGTCTTCTCAGAGGTGACTTCGTGTGAGTCTGTCTGTGTTAATTCTTTTCCCTGCTCCATCCGGAAGGCACGAAATTTCACCTTGAAATGGTAAATAACATAATCTTAGAGAATTTAATCCCTGGAACTATATATTTTGGGCCTGTGTCCAGTTGTTCAGCCCTACTAAAATCCTCTGTGCTGACTAGGAAGAGACGTTGCACTACTTCCTACTCCATTGTGACAGGCTCCTGCAGTGTTTTCGGGATACCGATTTATTGATTGGAATCATTAGTTAAGCAGGAATGAAAATAAGAAATATAAAGTAAATCACTTTGATATAGATATTTGATTTGAGAGTGAATTCATGAAAACATTTTTGGAAAGATAATTGTAGACTCTGAGAAAAGTAAACTAAAGACAGACAGATGAGTTACATAACATTTCAATGGCCCAATATAGTGCGTTTGTTTATGGGGCTATCATCTTGACTTGAGGCAGGGGTAGGGGAACTGTGGTACAAGAAAATTGCATAGAATGGAGATACATGGTGCAAAACCTACCAGGAGCAGATGAAATTCCATTTTCTCTAACCAGTTCTCTTTGTATGTGAGTAGAGCTGTCATGTGCAGAAATGACAGGTCTCATCCTAGAACTCAGCCACACAGACTCCTACCCCAGGGACTCACCTGCCACATACACTTGGAAGTAACATTGCTGTGACTGGACAAATCCTCAAAGTTACATCTGTGCTGCCCTTCACCGGAAGGGTGTATCTTGCAGCCCGAGATGAACACTCCCCATGGTGACGTTCTTCAAGAACTCAGTCCTCCTTCTGAATTGTGTTCCCTGATGATCAGACATAAAAGCTGTCTTAGCTAAGGGGCGATCTTGAGTCCACTCACTCCATGGATTGGCATCCAGCGGGGGTCTGAGGTGACAGGAGAGTGTAGCTTTCGGCCCCATCAGGGCAATGACTGGCTCAGTTGGCCCCATCACTGAGAACTTCCTGGGGAAAAAGAGCTTTGCCAAGAAAAAAGAAAAAAGAGCTGATTACTGGAAATCTCTTAGTATGGCTAAGACTTAGATAAAAATTCACTCAAGCGAAACAAGATTGTATTTCCTACCAATCACACTGAGAGGGGGATGAGAGCAATGCCACTTTTTCATGGTTATTTGAATAGCCTGTGGTATTTTTCATAGAAAAGGTACTCGGAAAGTAAAATTGAGGACGCTTTATGTAATAGATATGAACCCCTATTGTTACTCTTCAGCTATAACTCATACAGTCATGACTTTAATTGGCCATTTTGAAAATGTTTAAAATAGTCTAAGTATGGATTCCACCACAACTTTATTAAAATCAGCATCCCTCTTCTACTATGGGTATCACAAAATTTCACAGGGGTTTTGGTTGTACAGCATTAAAGCAAGGGTAATTTCCTTTAAGCCACGTGATGCTACGGTTAGAGACGTTACAGTTAGTGTGAGAGAGTGAGTCTTGTGTTCTAAGAAGCTCTATTTGTCAGAGAAGAGGTATTTATCTTGTGATCTATTATCATTCAATAAAGGTCCCTCCCTTGCAACTATCGCAGGGAGTATTAAGCCATCTCATGCTTAATCAAGACACGTTCCCACTCAAAGCTTAGGGGCTTTCACCGGATCTGCAAAGAGAAAGTTCAGAATTGCTCTGAAAATTTTTGTTAAGATAAACTTTGTGAAGGACTCTGAGCCTGTGCTCTAAGAAGGGTCATAATTTGAGCTCACATATTTGATGAAAATAGAAGTAGATAAAACTCACCAATGAGTTACTGATGTTTTTCTGTTAAGTAAGCAGAACACACAGGTATTACAGGAACTCCAAATAAAATTATTCTCAACAATTTCCTTCAATACCCAAGACAGAGTTAGCTAATAAGATTTTGGAAAGATCTGAATAAACAAATACAAAAATCTTATATAAGTATTTATATAAATCCCTATCTGTAGTAGGGGACGTGGTGAGTGAATTCTGTCAAATAGTTGCCAATTTTGAATGTAGTTAATTCATGACTGCCTTCTGAACACAATCCAAATGCCTGGTCATTAATAAATATATTCAGTTTGTGGAGAAGCTTAAATCAAAGTTGGTAAATAGGAATGACCAAGCAATGGACCACATATTCCTAACTGAGAAAGTTGACAAATACTTTTCCATGAGGTGATTATTGCTGGGAGATATATAAGAATTCAGAGACATTGATTAGATGTCTTGAATAACTCTCCAGCTAATAAGCTTTGCTCAAAACTTATAACCGAGGCAATTTTCCAAAATGACCCCATGGGGTGGGGGAGTGAATGTCTTTAGAAGTAGAGGACGTTGACGTGGGAAGGATGGGATCAAAGGATCCCGGCACGTGAATTCCTCTTCGGTGTCCTAATAAAACCTGTGGGGGAAACATTAGAGGAATAACACTTTTTTCCTCTTTTCAGAGTGGACATCAGCTGCAGAAAAAGAAGCAAGGCAAAACAAAATCTGTTAGTCCATTCTTTTGTCTTTTTCCCATGTATGAATCCCTTGGATTAAATCTAACTACAAATTTCCACAGTAAAACCTTAGAAATAGTGCCACAAACTAATTTTAATTGTTACTTCCCAGCTCAAAAACTTTCAGTGGCTTGGCATTCATGATAAACGCCAAGCCTCCAACTCTTTTCCAAGACCATTCCAGTTTTCATAAATTCCACCCAGAACCTGTCGTCTCATCATGATATCTGAGCTCCTCCTTGAGTTGTCTTCTAGTTGTTGCTTCCTCAAATCCTCGCCTATCCTTAATAATTCATTTTCTAAACAGCAATTAAATACAAATTCTTTCTTGAATACTTTGGTGAGTTCAACATGCCACACATGTAAACACACACACACGCGAAAAAGAGAGGATATTTTTATTTTTGTTTATTTCAGGCCAATACTTTCAAAGAGTCATCCACAGAATATGTGAACCCTACCCCTGGTGTCGGCGTGGCCCATAAATCTTTGTTCATTCAGCATATATACAGAAGTTAGTAAACCGTAGTTCTAAGTGCAAATCTGAATTAAAGATAATATTCAAATAGAGTTACTTACTCTTGTTTATAAACTAGAAATTTCCAAATGCCAAGTCATGTAACTTGGCTTAGTTTAATTTCCACGTAAGATACTCCTAACATATTTACTTGTTATGTGATGATATTTTACTTTTGCAATCTAAAATCTTGAGGATATTTATATTTAGAAGTATTTGTACCAAGTAAAATAACTCCATATAAAGTAAACAAAACTTGAGAAAAAATAGCCATGTGGATTATTGGGAACTCTACATAAACCTTAATAATTTCAAAGAGAAATGAATTATCCTATAACAATACAGGTTCAAATTGCTGGATGAAAGTCACCGGGGAAGTCAGCACTAAAGGATTAGGAAGTTAGTTACGCTCACCTCCATTTTCCTTATTATTCATTAAATTCTGACGTTAGATCCTGGAACTTAACCTGAGCCACTTTCCTGGGTTGTGTAGCTGAATCTGAGTAAAGGAAACAAGTCACCTGCCAGGCCTGTTAGGAACTTTGCTGATTCACAATGGGAGAGAAACACGTTGTGCGAATATTGCACTTTCCTGAGCCAGGGCAGCACGAGAGGAGGGCAAGGAGCACAGCGGAGCCGGGGCCCAGCACAGGGGGCTTTGCCTCCAGCTCCCGGAGGCCCCAGGTCATGTCAACACCATCAGAACCAGCCAACATGTGGAGAGAAGTTTACAGGACACAAGGACCTTGAGAAAGAGAGAAAATTATAAGAAATATAATGCAATAGGTGTGATTATGTTGACAGACCCTGCGTTTATACACATTGACAAATTAGAATTATGTGCTCACAGAGGTGAATATATATAAGACAAGCAAACTTCCATTGGAGTGAATTAAATTCTAACTGTGCCTAAATTTTAACTATTGTGTGAGCACTTCTTATATCAAACACCTTTCCTAAGCTACTTAAAATACTCATTCTACTACTCAAAGGGACAAGGTGGCTGGATAACAATCTTTTAGGAGGGCCATTTGCAAAGAAGTAGGAAGAATAAGATGGAAGGCTTTTTCCTCTAGTCTTGAAATTGCCCACTTCCCATTAAGTGAGTACGGTAGCTTTCAAGCAAGATTGTAAGTAAAGGAGCACTTTTTACTATTCAAAAAAGAGAGGGTTTCTGTCAGGCTTCTTCACTCTAAAGTTAATATATTGCCCTTTGTAGTTCACAAATATTTTGGAGGAGATAGTACAAGTCTCTACCAATATATTTCTCCCCAAATTTTCACCTATTACCTTTAGCCTCCATCAGTGGATCTTGTCTGGTTATTCCTGTGGTATGGGTCTAATGGTGATTTTCTATTTTTGTCATTCCTTTTACATTCGTTAATTGGAATTCTACAAGGAAGAGCTATCCCTTCTCCCTCATTTATTTATTCAAGTTTTTATATCAGTATGCACTCACAGATAAGAATCTGAAATTAGACTGAATCCAGATTGTCAAAGGTCTCACATACTACGTTAAGAGTTTGCCCTTCATCCATAGGGCAATGGGGAGCCATTGTGGCTTCTTTTTTTTAAGCAGAGGAATTATATGGACATTATTAGGCTTTTGAATCAGAATCCACCAGTGAATTAGTTGAGGATCAAAGAAAGAACACCTTCCTTACCTCGTCGTCCTTGTAGCGCCGTCATTGCTTATGGCTCTGCCTCTTTTTTCCAGGGCTTCAAGTAAAAGCACCACACAATTGGCTCTCTCTTTTTTTAAATAAATTTTAAAGCCTACCATATTGCATACACAGTAGTTCCAGGCTCTGCAAGTAAGAGATCCAGCAGTTTTGGCTCATTGCTAAAGAATCTCAAAGCCCACACTACCACACAGTGGCCCCAGGTTCTGAAAATAAGAGACTCAGCAGGACTGGCTCTTTGCTGAAAGCTCAAAGCTGACCCTATTGCAATGACAGTAATTTGGGTTCAAAGCAAGTCAGAGACCCAGCAGGATCGGTTCTTTATTAAAGAACCTCAAAGCCTGCTGTCCTTCAGGTGATACAGAGGTGGGCATCATCAGGTCTAAAGCTGTGGAGGAAAGCAGCAGAGAACTGATCATGCAGACAACAGAGGGTGGGGAAGGGCTGGCGATCACTGCTGCCATCATATCTGAGATCAAGGAGACAATGACTTTTTCTAAAGCCCATCAGGAGAAGAGCCAGAGCATGAGACAAAGCTGATTTCAGCTTAGCTTCCCCTCATTTTAAATAAATAAAACCATACTTTTTCAGAATGAATTGCTGTTTTCTTCTTTCACAGCACAGGAGTGACCTCACAGTGGATTCTGTGACATCAAACAAGCTAAAGCCTGAGACCCTAGTCTCCAGTCAAGTGGAGCCCCACCTCACCCCCATGCTCAATGGAGCCAAGAGAAGTGCTTCATCTTGCATCAACCACTGCCTGCCTTTGGTTCCCCAAGGTTATGGAGGAAAGTCATCTCCTGTGGGCTGGGGAGCACCACAACCTTCTTCTCTTCTTGCTGTTCTTCTCTCTGAAGGCCCTGAATGTAGATACAGTACTAAGTCTGGTCTGTAGATTAAGCAAGAACAGGACTCATGTTTCCTCGGGATATTCATTGGCGGGGAGGAGGGGAATGGCAGTGTTTGTCAGGCTATGGTCTAGACTTAGCAATGTCACTTCTAAGTATGTACCCCAGAGAAACTCTCACACATCTGTTCCGGGAGACAACTATAAGAATGTAGCACAATGTAAGAGCAAAACGTTGGAAATAGCCCCAAATGTCCATCAACCGGGGAACTGATAAATTATGGAATATGTATACTGTGAGATACAACGGGGGCAGCTATGCACATCGGCATGGATGAATCTCACCTACGTTAAAGTCAAAACAGTCACAGAACACATGCGCTTGAGCTCAATGTACAAAACTGTTAATCGCAATACCAAACTATGAATTATTTAGGGTAGATATTTGGCAAAATTAGAAAAAAAGCAGATAACCGTCAGGCGTAAAGGAGGGAGATGTCATCAGGGAAATTTACTCAAGAGCTTCAATAGTGTTGGCAATTGTTCTATTTCATAAACAAGGTGGTGGGTACACAGATGTTTATTTTTGAATATATTCACATTTCTGAGAGCTGGATGGTCTTAAGATGTGGTTATCATTGTCATGGATATATCTTAACCAATTTCTCTTAGTACATTTTACTTTTTATGTGTTCACAAGGGTGAAAAATGTCAAAATCAAATCTGAAAGATTTTTTTAATGAGTATAAAACATTCAAATAAACAAGAAATCATTGTATCAGTTTAAGTAGTATCATTTTTTCTGTCTTAGTGGTACGTAAAATATAATACGTATTATACTTGATGACATCTTATATTTAATGGAATACTGAATTTTTCTTTAACCCATACATATACAATGTATACACAGTTTTGCAAGTATAGTATATTTTATAATGAAAATCTCTTGTCTGTCATCACATCTCCATCTTACACGGGAGCAAGAAAAGCCTCAGATACCTCTCATTTAAGGGTATGTAATTGGGGAATATGGCAGATACTGCTATTTGACTACCCAATATCCGTTCTTGTCTTCCTTACTAACAGAACTAATTTCGTTGGGACCAGGGCCCTCATAGCTTTGGCTTCTTAGAGTACTGGGGCAATTAGAGAAGAAAGCTGGCATAGTTTGTTGACATTATTGCTGAATGGCCCTTAATCTTTTTTTATTTTTTTGCTGGACCTTTTTTATTTGGATTACCATGTTTAATTTTTTTTTTGAATTTACATACATCAAAAATGACCTTTTTGGTCGTATGATTTTATGAGTTTTGACACCTGTATAGATTAATGTAGATACTGTCACAATCAGAATACAGAACCACTCCATCACTGCATAAAATTTCTTTTGTGAGGTCTCTTTTTAGTCCAACTTCCCCCCCAGTCCTAAACCCTGGTAACCACTGTTGTGTTCTCTGCTGATCTAGTTCTGTCTTTTACAGACATCATGTAAATGAAATCACAGAGTATGTAACCTTTGGAAACTGGTTCTCTGACTCAGCATAATATCCTTTCATGCATCCTTCGCTGTGTGTCAATAGTTCCTTCCTTCTTATTAGAGTAGTCCCACACATTGTTTATTTAGTCAGTAGTTGAAGGACATTGGGATTGTTTCCAATTTTTGACTATTATGGATAAAGCTGCTATAAATATGTGTGTGCAGGTTTTTATTACAAACAAAAGTTTCCATGGGAATGCTGGGTCATATGGTATGTTTATGAGACCACCAGACTATCTTCTAGAGGGGCACAACATTTTTGCATTCCTGTCAGTGATCTATAAGAGTACCACTTGCTCAGAATCCCCATCAGCAGTTGGAATTGTCATTTTTTCCCAGTTCTAATAAGTATGTGATGATATCAGTTGTGGTTTTAATTTGGTTTTCTTTAATGACTAATAATAATGATCATCTTTTCATGTGCTTATTTGGCATCTGTATACCTTCTTGGTGAAGTGTCTAAGTCTTTTGCCCATTTTTAAACTGGGTTTGTTTTCTTACTGTTGAATTTTAAGAGTTCTTTATATATTATAGATAAAAGTCCATTTTCTATATGTGATTTGCAAACATTATTTCCCAATCTGTAACTTGTATTTTAATTTTACCAGCAACCTCTTTCTCAGAGCAAAATTTTTAATATTGATGAATATATTGATTCTTTTCCCTTGTAAGACATCAAGATTTCCCTGGTTCTTCATATGTTGGGTAATGTTGAACCATTCTCTGGACATTTTGATAGTATGAGCCTCTAAGTCGTGTATAAGTCCTATGAGAACGTTGATTTCTTTGTTTAGCATGCATTTGACCTGATTAGATGCAGTCAAGGTTTACATTTGGTTACAATGTCAGTTTAGTTTTCAGCATTTTGCTGTGCAATTTGAACCTATCCCACATGTGCACCTCTCATGGACAGTTGGGAATAGGGTGCTGGCCTACCCCATGGGTCTGCTCTCAAAGCCTTTGGGAGGCTCTTTACAGATTCACACATCTGCAGCTCAAGCATGAACCCAGGAATTCCCATCTAACTTTGTGGGATTGTTTTCTTGGGCTCTCTTCTCTCAGCTAACTCCTCAACGCTTTCCTACTCCCACCCGCCCTCTTCCTCGGTCTTCTAAAAATCAGGACTTTCGTTTGTCCATGCTGCTGTGCACTGCCTCCTACACTAAGGAATGAGAGGATGCCTGACCCCACACTCTGAGGATTACGATTATTCTGGTCAAAGAGAAAGGTTCCCTTTTCTCCACATTTTAGCTGCCTGCCTCACCACTGCTATCACTGCGCTACTGCAAGGTTACCCCGGGCTGGGCAGGAGAGAAAGCACAACAGTGGCATTTCCCCACTCTCTTTGGCTATGGAGTGGGTCCTTTCCCCACTTCTCACTCCAGAAGTAGCTGACATCTCTCAAGACTCTTTCTGTCAACACTCAGTGCAAAGGTCTAGGTTTTGAGCTGCATTTGAGTCTAGGCTGGGAGAAAGTGTAAGGAAAAAAACTGAATGTATGCCTCTTTGGTGATGTTTTGAGATAGATCTATTTTCCTTCCCAATTCTCACACTACCATTATTTTTCAGAGCGCTCAGATTACTGTCCCAGGAATCCTGTCCATGGTGTTCAATTGTATTAAATACCTGCAGAGACGGGCTGGAACATCCTTACTCCATCTGATCCAGAACTCTAACCATAACTCTTAAAATTTTTAAACATATGTTATAAAAATTTAAAACATACGAAAAAGTAAAGAGACCAGTACAAGGAAGACCATGAGCTTATCAGCCAGCTTCAACAATGTTCAGCTCTAGCTAATCTGGTTTCATCTACACTGCCACTCAGCCCCAAACTGAGCAATTTTAAAGCAAATCCAATACATAGTATCATTTCATCTATAAATATTTCATTATGGTATGACTTTTAAAAACCACAGTCACAATACCATTACTGGCAAAAGTTAACAAACATTCCTTAACATCATCATTTCAGTAGCTATTTACATTTCTTCAATATCTCGATTTTTTTTCAGTGGGTTTGTGCCAACCAGCATACAAATAAGGTCTACACCTTGTATTTGGTTGGTATAACTCTTAATTTTATGGCACAGATTAGGGGCTATCTTTGTAAATGATCTGTGTACACTTGAAAAATGTGTATTCAGCTGTTTTGTGAAGTGTCCTATAAGTGTGTTAGATCAAGTCGATTGCAAGTTTTGTTAAAGTTTAATATATCTTCACTGATTTTCTGCCTAGTCTTTCTATCACACATTGTGTTAATTACTTAGAAATTGGTACTGAAATTTCTGACTACTACTGTAGCTTTGTCTGCTTCTCCTTGCAAGTATCAGGTTTTGCTTCATTTATTTGTGTTTATTTATTTATTTATTTTTGAGGAAGATTAGCCCTGAGCTAAGATCTGCCGCCAATCCTCTTTTTGCTGAGGAAGACTGGCCCTGAGCCAACATCTGTGCCCATCTTTCCCTACTTTATATGTGGGACACCTGCCACAGCATGGCTTGCCAAGCGGTGAGTAGGTCCACACTCAGGATCCAAACCAGTGAACCCTGGGTTACCGAAGCAGAACATGCGAACTTAACCGCTGTCCCACAGGGCCAGCCCCTGCTTCACGTATTTTGGATCTCTGTTATTTTGGTGTGTACACATTTAGGATTATTTCACCTTCTTTACAAATTGATCTCTTTACCATTATGAAATTATCCTCTTTGTCCCTGGTAGTATGCTATACTCTGAAATCTAATTTGCCTGATGTTAACACAGTCACTCCAGCTTTCTTTGGGTTAATGTTAGCATGGTATTTTTTTTTTTTTCCATCCTTTTCCTTTAATCAATTTGTTTCTTTATATTTATAAAGAGTTTCTTATAGATAGCATATAGTTGGGTAAGTCATGCTTTTTTTATCCCATTTGATAATATCAGTTTTTTATTTGGTCCAACTATTTATATTTAATGTTACTATTGATATGTTTGCATTTAACTGTACTTCCTCGCTGTTTGTCTATTTGGCCTATCCATTCTTTGTTTCCTTTTTACCTCTTTTCTGCCTATTTTGGATTTATTATTATTATGATTTTTGTGTGTGTGAGGAAGATTGGCCCTGAGCTAACATCTGTTGCCAATCTTCCTCTTTTTTTTTTTCGCTTGAGGAAGATTGACACTAAACTAACACCTGTGCCAGTCTTCCTCTATTTTTTTATGGGATGCTCCCACAGTGTGGCTTGATGAGCAGTGCTAGGTCCACGCCTGGGATCCGAACCTGCAAACCCTGCGCCACTGAAGCAGAGCACGTGAACTTAACCACTAGATCACCAAGCTAGCCTCTGGATTAATTATTTTTTGTGATTGTATTTTATGTCCTGGTATATTCTTAGCTTAATATTTATAGCACATACTTTAAACTTATCACAGACTAACATCAAGTAATATTATATCACTTCCTGTGCAGTTTAAGAACCATGCAGTAACACTTTCATTTACCCTTCCTGGCATTTGTACTATTTTTGTTACACATATTACTTCTACATATGTTATAAAACCCACATTACATTCTTATTATGTGTGCTGTAAACAGTCAATTCCCTTCTGAAGGGATATAAGTATTAAGGAAAAAAATGTTATACATTTCTACATATTTACTATTTTACGTGCTTTTCATTCCTTGTGTAGATCCAGGTTTCCATATTCCCCTTGTGACTGTAGGAATGCGTTTAATATTTCTTATAGTTCAAGTTTGTTGGTAATGAATTATTTTGGCTTTTGTGGGTTTGAATGAGTCTTTATTTTACCTTTATTTTTGAAATATGTTTCCACTGGGTAAAGAATTCTAGATTGACATTTGTTTGGTTTTCTTTTTCTTTTTTTTAATGTCAGGTTTTTTGTCGTTTGTTGCCTTCCTTTTCCCTCTGTACATAATGCATCCTTTTTTCTCCTTCTGGAATTTTAGGTTTTCCCTTTATCATTGATTTTACGCTATTTGGATACGATATGCCTGGTATAGTTCTCCTCATGATTCTTACACTTGGGGTTCATTGAGTTGGATCTGTTGGTTCATACTTTGTCAAATTTGGAAACTTTTCAGGCAGAATGTTTTCAAATATTTTTTCTCGCTCTATCTTGATGCAAAACACAACAATTAATCCACGTGCAAAGTCAAAGATGATGGGTAATGCTCACAATTACAATGTACTTAACTATACACATGTCCCGTTATTCAAAGTGATGCGACAACAGAGTATTCATTCTTGTGAACTGAAAATCCTGAATACCAACGTCAGCGGTCGAGGGGAAAAACAGCGACAGAGACCATTAGACATATAATCTATGCTGTATCTATTTGACATTAAAAATGTATTGCTTTCAACCACTGTTTTTCTGGTCACTATATTGGTTTTATATTTTTCCCCCAAACTTCCACATCCATCACTGAAAACTGAGACTTTTGGTATCACAGGTGGGTCTTCCTGGGACACAGGAATTTCATTACAAAAACTGAGACAGTCCTGGACAAAGTAGCAAGATTGGTCACTCCATGGCCAAGCTGTTAGAACACCTTCTCATTTACCTCCCCAAGCCAGACATGGTCTGGCTGAGGTGAACCCGTGGATGGTGGCAAGCAGGTGCTCTGCAGATGGGGGAGGAGCTCAGTAAAACAGCCCATGCAGCAGAGTGTGCGTGTGTGTGTGTGTGTGTGTGTGTGTGTGTGTGTGTGTGTGTCTGTGTAACAGAGAGAAACAGATGCAGAAGCAGCTGCATCACTGACTGGATTCAATGTTGATCAAAATACTCATTATGTACATTTAAAGTTAGGTTTCTATTGCAATTCTGAAAATCAACTATATGATGCCCCTCCCATTGGAATTTATTGCTACAATGACATGGAAAGCTAGCAATGTCGATTCCATCATCCAGTAAAGTTTGCAGCTTTAACAGACTTTTAACAACAATAAGAGCATCAACAGCTGAGTTGCTGCATCAATAAAACTGAGCAAAGATAAGAGATTTTAAAAGAAATTAAAAGGATCCACACTTTTCGTCAGGAAGTGAAAGGATTTGAGTGGGAAGACCAGAAAGCATCCAGTAGTTTTGGTCATCTTCTCACCAGTGTTGAACATAGAAATCCTTGAACATGTAAACCTTGGGGTCAGAGTTCTTCAAATGGGAAAAAAGGGGGACAGAGTCCATAGCAAAGTAGTCTGTCAAAATTCACTGTTGCAGATGGCTGAGACTTAGTAGAATCTCATAGAAAACATATACAAGACTGATGGAGAACAAGAAGGTAAAGTTACAGATTTCAGACCAAGGTCAGCCGTGATAAAGATTTTCAGTGAAAATCATGAAAATTCAGAAAACATTGAGAGATAGAAAAAAACAATTTGATTATGAGTGTAATGATTAGATCTCTGCTACTACAAGAGCAAGAAAAAGAAGTGGAGCATACTCTGTAAGTTCCTGAAAGTGGGCTCAGTAACCTCTATGGAGATGTTTCTTTTGACTGTGTCTTTAAAAGTTCTGGTCTTGTGAAAGTAGGCATTGAATAGGTACCGTGGGTCATGGAAAGCACATGATTTGACCCTGAATTAAGCGTTCTATGCATTCCGCTGAGTATGCAGACAAAGGGAAAATTGGAGCGGCAGTGTTGCCCCTACATAGTCACCTAGACAGTGAGGCTAGGGATGTCTGTGCACAGAGGCAGCTGAGAGCTCACCTGTCTGAGGAGAAAAAAGTGGAGCTTTGACTTGTCCCTGATCAAACAAGGAAGAAAAAGAGTAGGAAAAAAACAAAAGTCCAAAAATTAGTTTAAACAATAAATTACATCATATGGACTATTAAAAGAAGTCTTTGAAAAATCTAAAATATAAAGGCAATAATCATGGGGCCGGTCAGGTGGCGCAGTGGTTAAGTGCACACGTTCTGCTTCAGCGGCCTGGGGTTCATCCCTTGGGATCCCGGGTGCGGACATGGCACTGCTTGGCAAGCCATGCTGTGGTAGGTGTCCCACATATAAAGTAGAGGAAGAAGGGCACGGATGTTAGCTCAGGGCCAGGCTTCCTCAGCAAAAAGAGGAGGATTGGCAGCAGTTAGCTCAGGGTTAATCTTCCTTAAAAAAAAAAAAAAGCAATAATGAGAATAATTCAATTAGGAGTAATCATCTGTATCTATATATACCTAATTATAGTGATTTTGTAAACATTTTAGAAAAGTGCATTTCAAATTTCTAACTCACATAAATATTTTTAAAATAGTATGAAGCAACATATATCCAGAAAATTAACTCAAATGTAGAAGAAAGAGTGTGCTTATAATATTTAAATTTTTCTTGCCAGTCTTTAACCTCAAGCCACATGGTTACTGTAGTTTTTGAGAGCTGTGATGTTTGTTTGTTTTTCAAAGCATTCAGTCCAGTGTCTTAATAATGGCAATGACAACTTAAGAACTTCTCTGAACTTTTCTCTATAGACTCTGTCTCTTGAATCATATGCCAGATAAATCCTCTCATAATCCCACTCCATGGAATATGGCTGCCAATGTCACAAGAGCCACCATACTCAGCCCAGCAGCAGCAGGTCAGATCCACGGAGCTTTCTGGTCAATAATGGTGGGAAGGGGGTAGGTACCATGAACACAAAGAAGTCATCATACATCGTACAGATACACTCACCTCTCCTAATTACTGGTTGATTTAGTCCTTACACAGTTGCTGCTAGCTTATCATAGAATCCACCTCATTGCTCCCAACCTCACCTGATGCTTACCGACTCTTACATTACTCTCTCTGAGCTTCCAAGCCAACCTTTCCTCCAACAACCACCTTGTCAGCTCCAAGCAATCCTGTGTCATATTCTCTGCCCCTACAGAATATGTGTTAAGTAGCACTTAATAAGCTGAAGAGCTGCAGCTAATAAATCTCCATTTTTCCATGCACAGAATCAAGAAATTTTTTATTCAATTCATCCAGCAAATATTTATTTATTGCACATCTACTCTGTGGCAGACATTGTTCTAAGCTTTTGGGACATTTCCATAAACAGCAATGAGGCCAGAGTGGCTGGAGCAGTGGGATCAAAACCAGGGTAGTGGTATTGCTGTTACTTTTCCTTCGAATAATATAAATCACTGTCACTGTTCCTTCAGGTACAGCTAAGATACAGCTGTAGTCCACCTAAGCGTAATGTTAAATATTAGGATTCTTCTTAAAGGTATGCAATTGTATAAAATGCATCATCATGCAAACCAACTGAAAGGATATTAAAACAAACTACATATGGCAAACGAATGAAAATTTAATCATAAAATAAAAATAATTGAATAAATAGGAGTGTGTGTAACATATTTTATTACCTTAGGTCCCATTGCAAAATGAAAATATGGGGACCCTTGTTCAAATTGAAAAGAAAGGACTACTAAAGATACTAAAATATAAACATTTTACCTTTACAAATATTTTATTACTTATAAAATAGAGCAAATAGTTATTTATATATAAAAACATAAATTACAAAATTGCAAAAAATATATTATTTTGGTCTTGTAATTTATATAAAATAATGAATAAAATATTATATTATTGTGATATCTTGATTGATTATAGGGTTTTTTGGCTTACCTTTCTCCAAATTTATTTATTATTTCATCAAAATTTACACTTTTAGCAATTTCATTTTCAAATTAGGATATTGAAAGCAAAATGAGTTGCCTTGGCCGGGGCTGGCCCCGTGGCCGAGTGGTTAAGTTCGCGCGCTCCGCTGCAGGCGGCCCAGTGTTTCGTTGGTTTGAATCCTGGGCGCGGACATGGCACTGCTCATCAGACCACGCTGAGGCGGCGTCCCACATGCCACAACTAGAGGGACCCACAACGAAGAATATACAACTATGTACTGGGGGGGCTTTGGGGAGAAAAAGGAAAAAATAAAATCTTTAAAAAAAAAAAAAGGAGTTGCCTTGGCAAATGCAAGATTGCAGCCAATTTTTGATAATTTTTAATTTTGAGAAGAATGTTTCTGCTGATGTAATGGTTACAGGAGCCGTTAAGAGTATTTTATAGACTGTGACAACACTGGGACATATTTCTGATAATTATTTAGCAGTATAAATTAGAGTACATGTAAAGTTAATGAGTCTCACTTAACACTTTTTCTAAAAAGATTTAACTCTTCATACAAATGAGTCTCCTGCCTGAATTTAATTTTAAATGTCATGCAAGGGCAATTATACAATGGCAATTTAAGCTTCATATAAAAATAGTGGGTTTTTCTGTTGAATTTAATTTCTATTTATAAACCTGTGGGTATTTGCTTTGCAATGACCCAGCAATTTTCAAAACCAGAGATTCTGAACGCTTTGAAGAATTCTAATAACTTCCTGATACGCTTTATTGCAATGTCGATGTATATGCTGTTGTTTAGTAATAATTTACTGACAATATTTACTACCTGGCCGCCTGCAGTACCTGTCCCAGTGCTCAGGCCAGAGAGTTAATAATTACTGTAATTATTAGGGTCTAAAGATGGTCAGGAGGCTGGCCTCCCACCCAGGTTCCTGTGCTGTCCCACATGGAGTCCCTCTTCTCTCCTGGGGCTGTGCCCACTGTCTCTTCTGCTGCTGCCTTGGGGCCTCCCACCTTAGCACCCCTGTACGCATCCAGACACAGCCACTAGGCCAATTGCTCAGGGCCTATGCTACCTGCCTTTCTCACTGGCTTCAATCAGCAACAACCATTTATCGCTGCTCATGAGTCTGTGGGTTGGTTGGGTTCACCTGGGTAGTTCACCTGATATAAGGGTCATCTGATATCAAATCTGAAGTTAGTTCACTCGCCAGTTACACAGTAGTAAGCCAATCTCTGACATTGGGTGTAGTGGAAAAAAGTAGGAATTTTATTGCAAAGCACTGAGCAAGGAGAAGAGGCAGCTAACACTATAATCCCAAACTCCTGAAAAAGGTACAAGCAAGGGTTTTTATTTAGGGTTTTAGGTAGGAGTTGGGGAGCATGTGGCCTTGGGGGCAGAAGTTCTAAGAGTCCTCTGCACAGGAATGACTGTCTGTTCTATGTGTTGCATGGTGGATTTTTAGTCTTTGATGTGTAAAGTTGACAGTCTTTTTAGCTTCTCAATGTTCCTGCAAGATGCTTACTCAGGAGGAGGCCTGTCAGCAAATTCCTCTCTTATCGGCGGTCCTCCTGCTGTTGTGCAAGGCAAGCTCAGATGCTTTGGTTATTTTGTTTCCCACGTTAACCTTGTGGGTCAAAGGCACAGTTTCACCCTAATCCAGGGAAATTTTAACTCCTTCATCCTCAGTGTCAGTTCTTCTCCATGTGGTGTGAGCTGTGGCTGCCGTTATCTGAAGACTCAACCAGTTTGGAATGTCCAAGATGGCTCACTGGAGGTTCAACCGATTTGGAATGTCCAACGTGGTGGCCGTTGGTCTCTGCTGAAGGCTGGGATCTCATGCGGGGCTGTCACTTGGACACTTCAGTTCTCTTCCCTGTAGCCTCTCCAGGTGACTCGCTTAGGCTTCCTTAAAAGTATTGTCGTTTCAGGATAATCATACCTCTTCTCCATGGTGGCTGGATCCTAGGAGTACAAAATTGGAAACCGTCAGGCCTTTTAAAGGCTTAGGACAGGAATTAGCACAAACTTACTTCTGCAGCATTCTCCTATTTAAATAAGTCACAAGGCCAGCTTAAATTCAAGAGGAGGGCACTAAATGAGGGGAACACCAGAAGGAGTTGTTCATTAGTGCCCATCGACATAAGAAATCACCACAGCCTCCTATTCCTTCTCTTTCCAGATGGAAACGTTCGTTGTGGGTATCCTGTCTCTGTTCTCTCACTGAATGTTGGTGTGGAGGGCAGATAACTTGTGATTTTTAGTTTACAGGTCTCTGAATTAAGAGAAGGTACAGCTCAAACTTACATAGAAACTATCAGGAGATCTTGGATTTTGAGTGTTAGACCAAAATGTTAGAAACTTTGGTTGCCTCTTTTTGGGAGGGGGTGAGGATATTTCACATGCTAAGTTAAAAGAGGTAAATATCTGTGGGCAGAAAAGTAGACTATGACAGATTGAATTATTTTTCAAAAATATTTTCTATGCTTTCATATCAGAACCCTCAAATATGGGCATATTAGTTAACTATTGCTGCATAACAAATTACCACAAACTAGTGGCTTAAAAAAATACACATTTATTATCTTATAGATTTTGTGGCTCAGGGGTCCAGGCATAATTTAACTGGGTGTTTTGCTTCAGTGTCTCTCACAGGCTATAATGAAGTTGTCAGCCAGGGCTGGGGTCTCATCTGAATGTTCAGCTGGAAGAGGATGTGCTTCCAAGTTCACTCAGGGTATTGACAGAATTTATTTTCCGATGGGCTTTTCTCCTCGCCGGCGTCAGCTGGAGCCACCCTCGTGTTCCTTGTCATGTGACACTCTCTCCATAACAGAGCTGTCAACATGAGCAGAATGCTTCATCAAAATCAGCAAGGAAGAACATCCACTATTAAGAGACTTTCATCTTCCGTTACATAATAACAGAAGTGACACCCTGTCATCTGTGCCATAGTCTATAGGTTAAAGGCAAGTCACGGGGCCTGTCCACACTCAAGGGAATTACACACGGGGTGAATATCAAGATGTGGGTTTAATCGGGGACTATCAGTCTGTCTGCCACTCCAGGCCCCTCACTGAGGGATAATCAGACTTTTTGCACCATACATTTCAGACCTGAACATGTGACTTATTTAAGCCAATGGAATGTGAGTGAAAGTGATATGTGCTCCTTTTAAGAAGGAGCTTTAAGAATTAGGGGCTGGCCTGGTGGCGCAGTGGTCAATTGTGCACATTACACTTTGGTGGCCCGGGTTTTGCCGGCTCGGATCCCGGGTGCAGACATGGCACCACTCGACAGGCCATGCTGTGGTAGGCATCCCACATATAAAGTAGAGGAAGATGGGCACGGAAATTAGCTCAGGGCCAGTTTTCCTCAGCAAAAAGAGGAGGATTGGCAGCAGATGTTAGCTCAGGGCTAATCTTCCTGAAAAAAAAAAAAAAAGAATCCTCATGCGGTCTGCCACCTTCTCTTTTTTTCTCTCCACAAGACTAGCACTATTCCAGATATTGATCAGCCTGAATCCTGGAGCTGACTCACTCTAGGTATGTAAAAGGAGTAAGAAATAAACTCTGTTTGTTGAAAGTCACTAAGATTGTGGGAAGGTTTTTAACTGCAGCATAACTTAGCTGAAGCTGCCCGCTACAGCTGATCCGGGAGATACACCCTGGGGTGAAGCATCCTGGGGCTAGCAATAGTGGAGAGCCATTACTTCCCTAGACCAGGAGGGATGGGGGAGGAGGTAAGGAACCTAAGGAATGAACCAGCTGGTCTCACTCTCCACTCCTTGATCTTGAACTGCTGCTGCCCACTGGCAGAGAGGAGAGGGCTGAAAGGCAGGTCCTAGAAAACGCTAGCCTTTCTGGGACAGGTGAAGGAAGGAAGAATAACTTACAGGGGAATAAAAGGAAATGGTCAGAGAGGAAAAAGGAAAACAAAACAGTGGCGAGGTGAAATAGAGTGATAATGGATTGAACAAGTGGCCACATTGAAAGATTCTTCTCAGGGTTGCACTAATTTAAGGTTAGTGTCTATTAAATTTGGAAAATGGAATTTCATATGTGACTTAGAAAGAGAGATGTGAAATTGGCACAGACAGAGCATGGGAGTACAGGCATGAGCTGCATAATGATCTTTCGGTCAACAATGGACCACCTTTATGACAGTGGTCCCATAAGATTAGTACCAAATAGCCTAGGTGTATGGTAGACTATACGATCTAGGTTTATGTAAGTACACTCTATAATGTTCGCACAATGGCAAAATTGCCTAATAATGCATTTCTCAGAACGTATTTCCACCATTAAGTAATGCATGTCTGGTATAACACAAAGAAATGACTAGTCAATAGAAAGTAAAATTGTAGAAAGAAGTTCTAGACTACCTTTCAAAGAGGCTTGGTTCTGCAGGAGAGATAAGTAATAAGAAAGTAGTTAAGGAAGAGGTGGGCTCAGAAGGGTGCTTGTTTTAACATATAAGAGTGTAGAAATATTTTTTACATGTTCAATGGAAATGTTCTACTGGGGACTGATGATGCCAGAGAGAAGTGGATTTGTATACAAAATTAGGTCCACAACAGTATGGGATGAGATGTAATGATTACCTTTGGGTAATTTTGAGACTAGAGAGCAAAGTAAATCATTGGTTTCAGACAATTTTGCAAGTTAGAAGTCAGGAAGTTGATGAATTTCATACCTGAACACTTCCATTTTCTTCCTGAAGAAACAAAGTAGACCATCTGCTGGATGAGGTAGAAATGATATCTCAGAAACTAAATTGAAGAGGAAGTATGTGGGAGTGAGTTATTGTGACAGGTAGAAAGTTAGAAAGATGTGCTCAGAAAATACGATGCCGGGGCCGGCCCCGCGGCCTAGTGGCTGAGTTCCCGTGCTCCGTTTCGGCAGCTCAGGGTTTCAGTGGTTCACATCCTGGGCACGGACACGGAACTGCTCACCAGGTGATGCTGAGGCAGTGTCCCACATGCCACAACTAGAAGGACCCACAGCTAAAAATACACAACTATGTACCAGGGGACTTTGGGGAGAAAAAGGGAAAATAAAATCTTAAAAAAAAATGATGCCATAATTTAAGATGACAGATGTGGAGCAGTGGGGTGAGTGATAATATTTAGAGCATGGCCATGAGAGTGGGTGGTTCAAGGTGAGTTGAGACAAAGATCATTGAAATTGAGAAGAAAGATAAGGACTCGGGTACACTTTCAACAACGCTGATATTAGTCATGCTAGTATTTTTAATGGTAATGCTAGTATTAATAGTAAATAATGCTAGTATTATTAATGATAATATCCAACCCTGTTGAATGCTGCTTCTGGCACTAGGCACTGTACAAACAGATTAACATTTATTATTCAATTAAGTCTTCATAATGTCCATAAAATTAGTATTATCCCCATTTTACAAATGAATACATTGAGATTCAGAGACATGACAAATATACCCAAAGCCTTATAGCTAAGATAGAAATAGAAAATAGAAATAGAAATAGAAAAGCTAGCATTTAAGACAGACATGTCTGTCTGATTATAGAGCTTAGGATATAAGTGCTAAACTAGCCTTCTTTCTAACACTGACATTTGATTTGCCTTGGGTGATGTTGAGCCTACCAGGCTAGTTGAAAATGTCACCAGGTAATGTGGTGACATAATTTGGAGACTGGTGGATGGCTGACAAAGTGTAATATAGGATACAGAGCTAGGCTGCGTAAGCTGATGCAGAAAGAAAGTTTCTGTGTGAGTCTGGAAGACAAATATCCTGAAAAGAGTTGAGGAAAGAAAGGAGAATGCAGACACTTCTTCCCTCTTTCTGGTACATGGAAAATGGGTGCAATTCTAGTATCCATTTTAGGTGAGAAGCCACAAGAAAAGGTTTCTCCTGTTGGAACCACCTAGGTTTCAGGTAAAGTAAGATGAGGTTTTCTGATCTCAGAAATTCTGCCGTAAACCAAGAGGAAACCCAATTTATCAACAAGAGGCTTAGATATATAGGTTTCTTTTGGCTTCTGTGTTCCAGGCTGACTGCTAGTGAAAAGTTGTTTTCCTTTCTCTGCAAGGTCCAGTTGTAGATAATAGCTGTGGGGTGGTCAGAAGCTGAATCCTTTCGGTCCTGGTGGAATCTGATTAAATCTATTTATCTCCCACAATGGAAGACTGTTCTTCTGGCAGGCTAACCTTTGTTACCATGCAAACAACAGATAGGTTCTGGATGGATTCTTATACGATTATTCTTTGTAAAACTACGACATTGTGATTTTTGAGGAGTAGATGTGATCATGGGCTGCATGTGTGATGCTGTGATCCTCTGGGGAGGTCAGGAAGCAATCAGCAAGGTTCAAAAGAGTATTCTTCATGCAAAGAAGAACAAATCTCAATTCTGAAGCTCCTGATAGGTGTGAATATATAGGCTTATAAATTTTTAAAAATATGCATTACTAAGAATTTTAAATGAATAATGATAACTTCTCATACTACATAAATGTGCCAGTTTGGAATTTATAAAGGACGTTCACACTCATTTTCTCATTTGGTATTCACAACAGGGCATGGAGTTGGCATTATGGAGCCCATTGTGCAAGAAATAAGATTCAGCAATCTCGTAATTGCAGAGACTACACCTCAACCCATGTTTTCTGTTCCCAGGTGCAGTGCAATTCTCAGTTAGTCTAATCTTCTATTATTTTCTAAATGTTCTTGACAAGTAATGAATAATCAGGCACTGCTTTGGGAAGGCTAGTTTTGAAAGGTTCTTTATTTTTAGGAGAATTATGATTTGAGGAGGAGATCTGGAGATGCTTCGTACCAAGCAGCCTGTTGAGGACCTCACAGTGCTCAGGTTGCACACACTCTGAATGTCTCTTCAACTTCATCTTCAGCCCACAGGTAACATCGAGGACCTGGTTTCTCTTAGCCTCTGGCACTACCTCCTACACGAATGCTAACATCCATTCCTTTTCCAGTTGTAGATCTCAGGGGCTGGAATCTAACTAGGGTCCTGAGTAAACAAAGAGGGCTACAGCACAAAATGCTACATTGGGGCTTTTAGCCGTAGATCACTCTAGCCCCGACAAACCACTGACCTTCTGCTCTGGCCAGCCAGACACCTGACCTTCCTCCAGAACCTTATCTTGCCATCTTTTACCCTTACGGATACATCTTCCACTATCCATTTTTCTATTATTACATTTCTCTGTATTCACCCTCCTCATTAAAGTTAATTTCTCTAATTATAGAAAAGAGAATGATTTGCTTCTCAAGTTTTCCTTCCATGTGGATTTCCTTCTCTCCAGTTCCTGCACCTCTTCTTTCCAAAGTCTTGCATTTCTGATTTCTCCTTTCTTTTGCACATATCAGACTCCTTCCTAACTTCTGTTTAATCTCTTCCTTGTTAAAAGTCAACCCTTTCAAATCTCTTTTCACTTTAGTCTCCCACCTGAAGGTCCCGGGCTTTCTTTCTTCACCATCATGTCCAGAGCACACCCTTGGGGCTAAGCTGAGGGCTCTGGTTCACAGACTAGGCAAATGGCAGACAGCAGATCATGTTATCTGCCAGTCTGCTCTTCTCCTATCACAGCTGGGCCTGCTCAGAGAGCTGTCGTGATCCATCTAAACTCCTATTCTGTACATTGGCTCCTCCCATCCCTGGCGTATTTTCTTGAGAATGGAAACCATTATTGTAAACACAATTTCAATGGATGTTTGGTGGAGGAGGCAGGTTAGTGTGCGGGATGGCCAATGATGAGCGTGGAGCAGAGGAAACAGAGCGGCAGGGAGATGAGAAAAATGTGGATGAGAGACCAATTACTGATTTTTACTATGGGAGTGTCCCAATGCTTCACAAAAACCAAAGGAACAAGAGCAGTAAGGAGTCATAGGAATAAAGTTGCACAGATCATTTCTCTCCCGTATATATACATATATATATAACGTATATACATATATGACACTATAAATACACAGCAACATTAGAACATAAACTGATTTCATAATGTATAAAAATATCATATCACTATGTTGTCACCTGAAACTAATATAATATTGTATGTCAATTATAATTCAATAAAAAAATTTTTTAAGAGGACATAAATTGGAAGGGGAATAAACAGAGTTCAATTGTTCTAAGTATCTACATTTGACGAATAAATGGAAACAGCATTAACATATATTAGAGCTGAATATTAGAACTGAATACGTACAAATTACACGTTCTGTTGTCTAGGGTAACCACAAAAGGATTAGTAGAGAACTGTATAACTAACAAGTTAAGAGGAAGGAAAAAAGGAATATTAAAAAATATTCAGCCAATTCAAACATATATAAGAAATAAGGAACAAAAAACAGGCAAGAGAAATGGACAAGTTGTAAGATATCAAATCTATACACAAACATGGCAACATTTCATTAACTGTTAATAGACTAAATATTATGCAAAAGGCAAAGATTGGTAGAGTTTTTAAAAAACAATATGCTTATACCAGATATACAATTTAAATATAAGGATACAGAAATATTGAAAGTAAAGGAATGAAAAAAATATATATCACTCAAATGCTAACGGAAAGAAAGCCGCCATAGCTTTGTAGTTCTAGCTCTACTAACCCTGGACAAAATAGACTTGGGGAGTGGTTAACAGCAATAAGGAGGGAAAATCCACCAATTATTTTAATTTATATATCAGTAACAAATATTGACGTTTGTCCTTTATATGAAAATGCAGTCCTCCATATTTCTAAACTAAGGATATATATGAAATAAAATATTCTCTATTATCAGAAAAGAACATCTTTTTAACATCAAAATAAGAAATTACACTATGTCAGCTCCACTGTGCTCTCAGTTCCAAGACTCCATGGTTCTGTGATTCTGAGTTTCCATGGTTTTGCAAGCCTCTGATTCCAATCCAAGACAGTCCATATTCTGGAGGATATGAAGCCATTTTCACTGTTCTGACTGGGAATTCCTGTGGCGATATTTTGGTGATACTGGTGTGGGTCATGGTAAAGGAAAGAAAGGTGACTTTCAAAGGAAAAGTAGCAAACAGTGAGCCAGCCCTGATGGCCTAGTGGTTTAAAGTTCGGTGCTCTCACCACTTCAGCAGCCCAGGTTCGTTTCCCAGTTGCGGAAGCACACCATCCATCTGTCAGTTGCATACTGTGGCAGCAGCTCACACAGAAGAAAAAATGGACGTAAAACTAGGATGTACAACCATGCACTGGGGCTTCGGGGAGAGAAAAAAAAGAGGAAGACTGGCAACAGATGTTAGCTCAGGGTGAATCGTTCCCTGCAAAAGAAAAAAAAAGTAGCAAGCAGCACATCTGAGACATGTGAGAGAGACCAGATTTAGGGAGAACAGAAAGAAGAATCAGCACAATTGTTTAGTCCAGGCACTGGCATATTCAAATTTAAAATAAAATTAAAACAGCCTTTGGGAAGTTTTTGGAGAAGATTGGAAACTTCCCATGTTGCTTGGCTTGGGTACCACTGAAGTGACAGATGTCATGGATGGATGAGATGACCTCAAATTATAAAGATTATGAAGCAGGAAAATCCAATGCATCCTTTTGGGGGAAAAATCAATGCCTTAATTCAAAGGACTTAAGAAAATATGTCAGTATAATTCAGTTGAACAAACTTGTCAACCTTCAAAATTTGAATGAAACCACCGTCTGAGTTTCTTATTTGACATGAAATGATAATGTTGATTAATAGAATTGTGATTATTTGACCAAATCTCTTAACTATGGAAAAAAATATCCTGAAATATGTAACATAGAAAAGAAAAAAATAATTGACTCTGAGCAAGGTCAATGATGAAAGACAAGACACCAGAATAAATTGGGGTAAAAACTGAGAAAGAGTAGAGAAGGGGAAACAAGCACTGTGGCACCTGGAGAATCAAAGTAAAGAAAAGAGATGTCAACAGAGGAGGAATCGTAGAATGGAAACATCAGGAAATGATATTAGGAAATATTTTTATCATAATTGGAGCCATTGACACAAATTTAAATTTCAGTTTTATGTGGACCAAAAAAACCGTTACGGTAGCAACAGATTGGAATAAAAATATTATAGCACCTATAAAGGAGAGTGTGGCAATATTTAGCAAAATTACATATGCAATTCCTCTCCTGAAGCCGTAGTCTCACCTTTTGGAATCTATCCCCCCAAAACACTGGCCTATAGGTGAAAAGATGTATGAATAAGTTTGCCATTGTTACAAAATTTGTAACAGTAAAAATTTGGAAATAACCCAGATGTCAACCAAAAGAGGCCTTGCTGAAAACAATTATGGTATGTCCACTCAATTATGCATTGACAAAACAGAAGGACATCATCTGTATACTATTCTAGAGTGACCTCCAGCGAAAAATTAAGTGAAGAAGTGCAAGGCAAAAAGAGAACTATGATACAAAGGCTTTTGTGCAAGAGATACATATGAACACATTCAAAAGACTGTTTATATTTGCAAAATGAAACACTAGAAGGACAGACCAGAACCTATAGCAAAGAGAGAGAGCAGGTTGGAGGCAACAGGGATAAAGTGAGGTTACAGTTTTCATTAACCCAGAGTTATTAGAACAGTGGAAAAAGTCCTAAGAGCCTAAAAGCACTGTAGAAAGGGACAAGGGAATATACTGACAATATTATAATGTTGTAAAATAGCGTAAAATAGGCTAAAGGAGAAATATTACTTATGAATAATGTAATAGTTGAAGTTAAAGAAAAAACCAGATTGGTTAAATAGTAAAATGGACGCATCCGCAGTGAATCAGCAAATTAGAAGACCACAGAGTTAGGAACTGTTCCGTGTGGGCACAGGGAAGAAAACTGTGGAAAAAGACTTTTTGAAGTTAAAGAATATGGAGAATAGAGGAGGAAACGCCGACATCAATAAGAGAATTCTCAAAAGAACTGGAAAAATTGGAAATGAGGAGACTTCTCAAGGAATAATGGAAACATATTTGCCAGAATTAAAGAAAGACGACTCAAGATTTAAATGGTAAAATAGGAAAAGAGGAGTGAGAAGGAAAAGTTCACACCTAGACATTTTAGAATGAACTTTAATAAGATTAGAGACAACAAAAAGATTCTAAAGCTGCTAGAGAGGAATAGCAGATCACAAAAAGAAGACGAATCAGAATGCCATCAGACATTTCAATAGCAACACTGGATTCAAGACAATGGAATACTATTTTCAAAGCAGTAAAGGGAAAGAAGTTTGAGCTATAC